CGAACAGGGTGCTACGGTTTGTGTTTTAAAAATGGACTGTATGGAGTTCCACTTCTGGCATGACCAAATGAGGAGCTTGGCGGACCTGCCTGCCCACAAACTGTTGCAAATTATAAAAACAAAATGACAGCGGCGCCTGGGTGGCTCAATTGGTTGGTTAAGCGTCTGCCTACGGCTCAGGTCATGATCCCAGGGTCCTGGGATCGAGCCCCGCATGGGGCTCCCTGCTCATTGGGGAGCCTGCTTCTCCCTCTCCCTCTGCCTGTGCTCCCCCTGCTTGTGTTTGTGCTCTCTCTCTGTCAAATAAATAAAATCTTAAAAAAACAGAATGGCAGCCCAACCATTTGAAGCTTCTGGGGATGATCCGGAGGGCACGCAGCAAATTAATAAACAAATAAAATCTAAAAATTTGGTGAGAACAGGGAGAACCAATGATGGGTGAACCAAGACCCCCCCCGGCCCCTCCATTTCTGACTGGGCTCCCTCCCCGCCCCCAACTCCCAGTTGGAGGGAGATCCTCTGGGGAGGGGGTAGAGTGTCAGCCTTTCTCATCCTGCTCCCAGCTACTTGTTGCTGAGGCCAAGTTCTGGAGAAGCACAGCCGAGAGGAGGGTCTCCCTTCCTCAGCCCAGCCCATACTTGTGGAGCGGTTGAGAATACTGGGGCCCCGGTTGCCCTTCCCTGGCTCCTGGGGCAGGGGTTTCACATCAAGAGGACAAGCTAGAAGATGGGGGGCCTGCCGCCTAACCCCACTGAGGACTCAGCTCCGAAAGTGGGCTCCCTCTGAGTGAAGCTGACCATTGTCCCCACCCCGGTATCAGAGCCATGGCTCAGAGATTTTGTCTGTGGGAGAAGCAGGCTGCAGAGCAGAGAGCACCAAATCTTTCCTCAAAGGAACTGACTCTCTTTGGGACAGAGTGAGAAGTTCAAGGCTAACCGTGCCTCAGAAACCGCGGAGGTCGTGGTGTACGTAAGGCAGATGGAAGGAGATTGACAGACTCTAGCTAGTTTGCCGGAGAGCCAGGGAAAGAGACAGCTGGTGAGAACCCTTCTTGGGTCAGAACTAATCTCAAACTGACTTGGGGGACTTGGGGAGTAACCCTTCCAAGGATCCCTAACTTGATTGGATCAGTCTCTGAAAAAGTTGATGCCCCGTGAAGTGTTGAAAACAACGAGAACAATGGAGCAAGCAGCTGATGATGGGTGGAGCCCCCCTGCCCAGCATGGTCAGGGAAAGACCCGGAGAACCTGCCCAAACCCACCAGCCCAGGATGACTGGGCATATCTAAGGCTCTCCATGCTCCCTTCCCTGGCTCTGCACTTGCTGGAGGAAGCAGAGGAATAGACTGAACAAATCATCTAACCAGTCGCTAAACAGACATAAACCCCAGGGCGGGGACCAGCACCCGGAGTTGCCACAGTGCGCTATCTGAAATGTCCAGTTGCCAACAAATATGAGATAGGTGAAGAAATGAAAATAAGACTTGTATACTGGAGGGGGTGGGAGGAGGCAGAAACTGCCAGGGAGAGGGACCAGAGACGAAGGTTGGGATGAACAGACAAAGCCTTCAAAGTAGGCTTCGCAGGGGCGCCTGGGTGGCTCAGTCAGTTGAGCATCCAACTCTTGATCTCTGGGTGGTGAGTTCAAGTCCCGAGTTGGGCTCCACACTGGGCGTGGAGCCTTTAAAACAAAACAAAACAAAAACCAAAGTAGCCATTGCAAACAGGCTTGGAGAGGGGCAGGCAACTGGTGAGTAAAGAAGTGCAGGGAATAACGACGTTGCACCAAGTAGAGAACATCAATGGAGGGGCGGATGTTATTTTAAAAAGAATCTGGGGGCGCCTGGGTGGCTCAGTGGTTAAGCGTCTGCCTTCGGCTCAGGTTGTGATCCCAGGGTCCTGGGATCGAGCCCCGCATCGGGCTCCCTGCTCAGCGGGAAGCCTGCTTCTCCCTCTCCCGTGTTCCCTCTCCCGCTGTGTCTCTCTGTCAAATAAATAAATAAAATCTTAAAAAAAAAAAAATCTGATGGAAATTCTGGAGTTGAAACATACAGTATCTACAATGAAAAATTCTCTGGAGGGGCTCAATAGTAGATTTGAACTGTCAGAAGAAAGCATTCTCAAGCTTGAAGATAGACTGAAAGAGATCCTGCAATCCCAACTAGAGAGAGAAAGAGACAGAAAATGAACAGAGCCTCGGAGAAATGTTTTATTTATTTTTTTAAAGATTTTATTTACTGGGGCGCCTGGGTGGCTCAGTCGTTAAGCGTCTGCCTTCGGCTCAGGTCATGAACCCAGGGTCCTGGGATCGAGCCCTGCATCGGGCTCCCTGCTCCATGGGAGGCCTGCTTCTCCCTCTCCCACTTGCCCTGCAGTGTTCCCTCTCTCGCTGTGTCTGTCTCTGTCAAATAAATAAATAAAATCTTAAAAAAATAAAGATTTTATTTATTAAAGAGAGAGTGCAGAGGGAGAGTGAGAGGGAGAAGCAGACTCCCGGCTGAGCAGGGAGCCCGATGCGGGGCCGATCCCAGGACCCTGAGATCATGACCTGAGCTGAAGGCAGACGCTTAACCAACTGAGCCACTGAGGTGCCCAAGAAATGTTTTAAATATGCACAAAGCATTTAATATCAGAGTCTGGCAGATAACAGATGCTCAGTGAGCATTAGTTCTCAATATGACACTGTAAGAGGAAAGCCCATTTCACAGAGAGGCAAACTGAAGCCCAGAGAGGGGTAGAAACTTGCTTAGCATCACACAGAAAATTTGGTGTCTCTCATGATCTTCATAGCTTTTGAGACGCAGGCCCAAGGTTTAACACAAGGAGGGCTCAGTGCTTGCAAAGTACAGTAGGTCATGACTTTCTTCCCCCTCCTTTTTTTTAAGATTGATTTATTGGACAGAGAGAGTAAGAGTGCACATGAGTGGGTGGGGGGGAGGGGCAGAGGGAGAGGGAGAATCCTAAGGAGACTTCCCGCCAAGAAGCCCGATCTGGGGCTCTATCCCAGGACCCCCAAGGTCATGACCCAAGCCGAAATCAAGAGTTGGCCACTCAACCGACTGAACCACCCAGGTGCTCCTAACTCTCCTCCTTTTAAAACCTTCCCGTGGGGCCCCAGGGCATCGCAGTCAGTTAAGCGTCACCCTTAGGCTCAGGTCATGATCTCAGGATCCTGGAATGGAGCCCCATATTATGCTCCCCACTCAGCAGGGAGTCTGCTTCTCCCTCTCCCCCTGCCCCTCCCCCAGCTCATGCTCTCTCTAAGAAATAAATCTTAAAATAAAACCCTTTCATGATTCAAAATAAGGTCTATACCTGACCTAATGGTATTGGACCAATGTCACAGTCCTGGTTTTGACAATGTACTGTGGTTACATCTTAAGTTCCCATTGGGGAAAGCTGGGTGGAAATGATACAGGATGCTCTGTACTATTTTTCTAATTTCTTGTGAGTGTTACACTGTTTCAAAATAAAAAGACAAATATTTAGGAAGCACCTCCTGTGAACCTCCCGTGAACATGCCAGGCCTCCTTCTAGGAGCTGGGGATTCAGCAGTCAACAAGACAGGAGTGGTTAAGTGCCAGGACGTCCGAGCCTGACAGTTTCCATTTGAATCCCTGCTATGGGGACACCTGGGTGGCTCAGTCGGTTAAGCATCTGCCTTCGGCTCAGGTCATGATCCCAGGGTCCTGGGATCGAACCACATGTTGGGCTCCTTGCTCAGCGGAAGCCTGCTTCTCTCTTTCTGCCTGCCGCTCCCCCTGCTTGTGCTCTCTGTCAAATAAATGAAATCCTTTTTTTTTTAACTGATTTATTTTTTTTTAAGATTTTTATTTTTAATTTATTTTTTAAAGATTTTACTTATTTATTTGACAGAGAGAGACACAGCGAGAGGGAACACAAGCAGGGGGAGTGGGAGAGGGAGAAGCAGGCTTCCGCCGAGCGAGGAGCCCGATGTGGGGCTCAATCCCAGGACCCTGGGATCATGACTTGAGCCGAAGGCAGACGCTTAACGACTGAGCCACCCAGGCGCCCCTCAAATAAATAAGATCTTAAAAAAATAAAATGAATCCTGGCTGTGTCACTTACTAGCTGTGGTTACATGGGTAGCACTTAGCACTGTATAATTGTAAACTTTGTAATTTTTGCTTTTATGTTTCTTTTTCTCCAGATTGCCCAGTTACCCCCTTCAGAGAGCCCTCTCTGCCCCAGGCTGGTTCTAGCACCTTTGGGGATCCTGCAGATTCCTGGGCCTCCTTCACCATCTTTCTCACCCCTCTGCCTGTGCCTCCCCTACTCCAGGCCCAGCCACCTGGCCGTTGTCATTTGGTGATGGGTATGTTTCCCCCATTGGACAGGGAACCTGATTGCTGGACCAGGGCTTTCCTTTTTTTTTTTTTTTTTTTAAGATTTTATTTATTTATTTCAGAGAGAGACACAGCGAGAGAGGGAACACAAGCAGGGGGAGTGGGAGAGGGAGAAGCAGGCTTCCCGCCAAGCAGGGAGCCCGATGCGGGGCTCGATCCCAGGACCCTGGGATCATGACCTGAACCAAGGCAGACGCTTAATGACTGAGCCACCCACGAGCCCCTGGACCAGGGCTTTCCTGATTAGGGCTCTGACCTCGGAGTCAATCAGCCCAGGAATATGCACACAGCAGGTACTCAAGAAATATATACTGAACGGATGAATGTTTAGCGACAGTGAGGAGAACACTGGAGCAATCTCTGTGTTCCTTACCCTGGAGGTGGGGTTTAGGGATGGGAATTTTTAGGTGAGATCTAGAGGTCCCTGCCGCCTGGTCCCCTGGCCCGGAGCAATAGAACCTGCGCACCGGGTGGAACATGATGTCACAGTGCCCCCTTGTGGTCGTCTCCCATTTTAGAACCCTGGTGTGAGTGAGGCTCTCCCCGCTGAAGGAAGGAGGACCGGGCGGGATCCCCCCCCACCCCTCTACCCCCCCACCCCCCGTTACCCCGGGGGGGGCCCCCTGTCCCCACCATGAACAACCAGGCTAGGGCCCCAACCCCTTCCCCGGCCCAGATGTCGACCTCGGTCCGGGCTTCGACCCCAGTCAGGGCCTCGACTTCAGCCCGGACCCCAAAACCCATCCAGATCCTGACCCCCGCTCGGAACCTGACTCCCGTCCCCACCCGGGCCTGGACCCCGACTCCCGTCCAGGCCCCGGCCTCGGCCTGGACCCCGGCTCCCGTCCAGACCCCGGCCCGAACCCTGGCTCCCGTCCCGACCCTGGTCCGGACCCCGACTCGCATCCAGACCCTGACCTCTGCCCGGACCCCGACTCCTGGCCAGACCCGGGCCTCAGCTCGGACCCCCACTCCCGTCCAGACCCCGGCCTTGGCCTGGACCCGCACTCCCGTCCAGACCCTGGCCCGAACCCCGGCTCCCGTCCAGACCCTGGCCCGGACCCCGACTCCCATCCGGACCCCGACTCCCGTGCAGACCCAGGCCTTGGCCTGGACCCCGAATCCTAGCCAGACCCTGTCCCGGACCCCAAATCCAGTCCAGATGCTGACCCCGGCCCAAACCCGGACACCCATTCCGACCCCGACCTCCGCCCGGAGCCTCACTCCCGTCCAGACCCCAACCCCGGTCTGGACCCGGACTCCGACCCGGATCCGGACCCCGACTCCTGCACAGATGCCGACCCGGGTCCGGACCCCTATTCCGGCCCGGATGCCTACTCCAATCTGGACCCCGCCTCCTGCCCCGGCCCCGGCCCCAACTCCAGTTCCATCCCAGGTCGGGATCGAGATCACGGCCGCGGTCCCTGCCTCGGAATCCTTCCCAGACTCGGTCGTGCCTTTGGATCCGCACCGAGAACCCGCACTGGAGGAGCCCGCTTTGTCTCCCAACAAGGATCTTTCACCCAAGCCGAGTGTGAAGCACTTCCCATCCGTTGCCAGTGGATTCGGGTCCAAGCGAGAGTCCATTCTTGTCCACACTCCATCGGCCACTGATTTCCTGGGGCTTACCCTTGGCTCCACGTCGAAGGCAGACTCCTCGGCCACGAAGTTGACAGATGCCACTCCCGAGTTTGTTCGGGTGCCCATCCTGGGTCCTGACCCGTTTGCCCCCACCTTACCCGAGTCTACCAACACTTTCGCTCCCACCATTGAGAGCTTCCCGATGGACAGCAAGATCGTGATTCGAGTGATCTACTGGTGAGGGGTGCCCCCGCCCACACCTGCCTCCCCCCGTCCAGAGGCTGGGGGGGGCGGCGCTGGGGCTTTGGGGATTTGCTGGGGCGGGGGGGAGTCAAGATTCCCAGGTGGAAATGCCTCCACCTGTCACTCTCTCTGCGGATAAGGTCTGTGGCTTCCCATCCCTGCTCCGAGCCTCCCCCATTCACCCTCACTCCTTTATTCATTTTGGAGTCTGCTGCCCGCCATGGGCCGGGCCTATGCGGGGATGGAGCGCTCACCCGAGCCCCCAGCTTCTCTCTCCAGGCCGAGCTGGGCATTGCAGACGCAAAGCCAGACTCGGGGCGGGGGAATTTCAGACTGGACGGTCAGGGATGGCCTCCCCTGGCGGCCTCTAAGGGAAGATCAGGGCGGTGGGAGGGGATCTGGGTAGCAAGGGGGAGGAGGAGCCCGGGTGCAACGGCCCAAGGAAGTTGGCTTGGGTTCTCATTGGCCCCAGAGCTGAGTCTCTGTGTCAGCGGCCCCAGTAACAGCAGTGGCCTTCCCAGGCGGGGGCTTGGTCTTCCCCTCCAACCTGCTCGCCTCTCTCCTGCTTTAGAAAGTTCTCTCCCCGTCATCTCTCCCAGTGTCACTCCCCCCCGCCCCCAACCTCGTTCCTATCTGCCCAGGCAGTCTCTCCAGGCAACTCAGTGTCTTTTCCTTTCCTATTGTGGATCTTTCTCCTCCCCATGTTTCCTCATCTCCCCTCTCTTTCTCTGCCTTTTTTTTTTTTTTTTTACGATTTTAGTTATTTGATAGGGAAAGAGACAGCACAAGCAGGGGGAGGGGCAGGCAGAGGAAGAGGGAGAAGCAGGCTCCCCGCTGAGCAAGGAGCCCGATGCGGGGCTCGATCCCAGGACCCTGGGATCGTGACCTGAGCCGAAGGCAGACGCTTAACCCACTGAGCTGCCCATACACCCCTGCCCTTCTCCTTTCTAGCTCTTTCTCTGACTCCATGGATTTACTAATTCACTAATTCATTCCTTTGATAAGTACCTACCTTGTACCAGGCTCTGTCCTTGGCACTAGGGGCACAGCAGTGATTAAGACAGAGATCTTTGGGGCTCCTGGGTGGCTCAGTTGGTCACAGTTTTAGCTGGGGTGGTCAGGAAGGCCTTCCTGAGAAGGTGATGTATGAGCAAAGACCTGAAGAAGGGAGAGAAGGAGCCATGTAGATACCAGGGAAAGAGCATTCTGCAGAGGGAGCAGGCAGTGCAAAGGCCCTGAAGCAGGCATGCCTGGAGTATTGGAGGAGGAGCTCCAAGGTCCCTGTGGTGGAGCAAAGTGGGCCAGGGGGAGAGTGGAGGAGGAGACCGGGGAGAGAGGTGATGGGGACAGATCCCGTGGGGGGCTTGTGGACCATGCTTTTTTTTTTGCTCTGGGTGAGCTGGCACTGTGGGAGGGTTCCAAACGGGAGGGACGGGATCAGACTTCGGTGTTCCCAAGCTCCCTCTGGGCTGGAGGAGATCCTGATGCAGTGTCTTCCCTCCATCTCTCTCTGCCCTCCCTCCAGCGGCCTCTGAAGCTATGGCCTTCGGGTAAGTACTTTTGACTTTGGAGGTGGGGGGAGTATAGGACATGAAGTGTGGAAGGAGGTCCTGTTTCCCCTCCTTCCAAGACCTGTGACCCCACAATCCCATCTCCACTCTGCAGTTCATTCTACTGAGAAAGAGTCTGGAGCAGCAATTTCCAAATCGACTTCTCTTTGTGAGTGGCCTGGGGGAGGGGGCTGGTCAGGGCTCTGAGACCCCAGGGGCTTGGAGGAGAGTGCTCACCTTCTCCCAACCCCCAACATTCCCTCTCCAGCAGGAGGAAAGAGCTGCCCAGGCTACAGGGGAGTTTGAAGTGTTTGTGGATGGGAAATTGGTCCATTCAAAGAAGGTGATTCCGAGCGAGGGTCCCAGACAGGGAGGGAGGGTGGTGGTGCTGGGATTCCCCCCGGGGGCGGGAGACCCACATGTTCACGCTCTTTCTCCTCTGTGCCCAGAAAGGTGATGGCTTTGTGGATGAGGCCAGGCTGCAGAAAATTATGAGCATTATCGAGGAGGAGATCAGCAAAAGGTAGCAGGCAACTGGCTGGAGGTGAGGTGAGGGAGGTGAGGGAGGTGAGGTGGGGGGTGATGGGCAGGGGCCGAGGCATTGTCTTCGAGTCAAAGGCACTCGAGTCCCAGTCCTAGTTCAGCCTGTCCTCCCTGTTCAGATCAGGACAAGTCAGCTACACCCTTTTCTGAACCTCAGTTGCATCCTCTGTAAAATGGGTTTGTTGAGATGCTTCCATGAGACACCTCACATAACGTAATACATTTACATCGCTCAGAGAAAGGCTCAGTGGATGTCAGCTAAATTTTTTTCAAAAGACCTTAAGATCTTTCTCTTTCCTTTTCCCTTTCTTTCTTTTCTTTCTTTCTTTTCTTAGCTTTTTGTTGTAAAGCCGTATATCTAATAACATTCTGCCGCTTTGCAATTTACAATTAATTAAAATGAAATGCAGTAAAAACTCAGTTATTGGGACACCTGGTAGGCTCAGTTGTTAAGCGGCTGCCTTCGGCTCAGGTCATGATCCGGGGATCCTGGGATCGAGCCCCGCATCCGCATCCGGCTCCTTGCTCAGCAGGGAGCCCGCTTCTCCCTCTGCCTGCACACCCCCCCCCCCCCGCCCCCGCTTGTGCTCTCTTGAGCGCATGCGCTAATAAAAAATCTTAAAAAAAAGCCCACCTCAGTTATTAGTCACACTGGCCACATTTCAAGTGCCCTGTAGCTACATGTGGCTACTGGATTGGGCAGTGCAGATACAGGACATAGACCCATCACTGCAGAAAGTTCCACTGGTAACGTTGTTTTAAGGTATTAAAGCATATGCACAGTAATTTATTTGCCACCAGTACTGGATTTTATTTATTTGCCACTGATACTGGATTATTTTTTATTCATTTTTAAAATTTATTTACATAATCTCTACACCCACTGTGGGGCTCGAACTCACAATCCCGAGATCAAGAGTCATATGCTTTTCTGACTGAGCCTGCCAGGTGCCCCAGATACTGGATTTTTAAAATCACTTACTATATATACACATTTGCAAGCTGCTACTGACTTAATCTGTTTTGTATCTATTTTTTACAAAAAGTTGTCACCTTTTTGGGGTATAAGTGATGTCTAAGAGATAGTACATGTTTAAAGCATATGAGTTAGTAAGTTTTGACATATGAACATACCTGTGAAACCATTTCCGAAATGAAGATAATTAACGTGTTTGTCATACCCCCAAAATTTCCTTGGGGACCATCAGTAATTTCTCCTGCCCTCCTCCCTGTCCCAGGCCACTGCTGATCTGCTTTCCATTATCATAGATTAGTTTGCATTTTCTAGACTTTATTTTTAAAGCTTTTATTTATTTATTAGAGAGACGGAGGGAGACAGAGAGCAGGAGCAGAGGGAAAGGCAGACTCCCCGCTGAGCAGGGAGCCTGACGTGGGACTGGATCCCAGGACCCTGAGATCATGACCTGAGCTGAAGGCAGACGCTTAACCACCTGAGCCACCCAGGTGCTCCTATTTTATTTATTTTTAAGTAGGCTCCATGCCCAACATGGGGCTTGAACTCACAACTCTGAGATCAAGAGTCATATGCTCTATCAAGTGAGTCAGCCAGGCGCCCCCCCCCACCCCCAACAAAAATTTTAAGATGTCTTAATGGCATCTAATACCTCTCAAGTGTCTCAAAAATATCTTTTTAGAGGTGGTTTGGGAATCAGGATCCACACAATGTTCACATGGTATTTTAGCTGTTTTTAAAATAATTACAAACAGGATTTCTGGAATCCCTACTATGTGTTAGGCTCTATCTTTTCTCTCTCTGTCTCAAAAAAGAAATTTTTTTTTTTTTTTTAAATCTTTAAACACTTCAAAGAAGTAAGGGATTGAACCATGTGGATATCTGGGGGAAAAGTATTCCAGGCAGAGGGAGCAGCAAGTGCAAAGGGTCTGTGGTAGGAATGTGTCTGGTGTGTTGAGAAATGGCAAGGAGACTCAAGTAGGCAGCGTTAGGATGGTGCCTGACACATAGTAAACCCTAATATAAATGCTATTTTTTTTAATGGACTTGTTATTTTATTTTTTTTAAAGATTTTATTTATTTATTTGACAGAGACACAGCGAGAGAGGGAACACAAGCAGGGGGAGTGTGAGAGGGAGAAGCAGGCTTCCTGCGGAGCAGGGAGCCCGATGCGGGGCTTCCTCCCAGGACCCTGGGATCATGACCTGAGCCGAAGGCAGATGCTTAACGACTGAGCCACCCAGGCGCCCCTAAATGGAGTTATTTTAAATAACAACTATTTATTGTATTTTAGACAATTTTCTCTTTTTCTATTTCAGGAGCCTCAGCAGGATGCCGGAAAGGGCTGAAATGTTATCAAGTCAGGTCCTTTTCTGATGGTGGCTGGGGTGGGTCGGGGAGGGGAACAGGGAAATACATACAGTCTGCCTCCTTGCATTCTGGTCTGACCGTGTCTGATGTCGGACCACCGTCTCCTGAGGGCTGTGGTGATCGCCTGCTCCTGGGCTCCGGGCATGGCCAAGGGTCTGGACTGGGAGATGGCGGTGGGGGGAAGGGAGGGAAGCTTTGAAGAGAAGCCTCATCCTGTTGCTCCCCAGGTTTGCTCCTGGTCATCTAGCCTCAGGTCCTAGAATCCCAGTATTGGGAGGGGTCTCGGTGACCTGGCGGGGAGGGCCATGCGTGGATTCATGGAACATTGATGGGCCCCCTATTCTGCACCTGGCACTGTGGGGTCACTGGGCATGAGCCAAGAGGTCCCTGCAAGGTGTGGGAGTCAGACCTTTACCACGTAGTTGCTGTGACCTCCAATAGGGACCCTCCCTCTGGAAGCCTCAATTTTCTCCTCTGTAAAATGGGCATCATAACACTATTTAATCATGGAATTCTCAAGGCCTGGCACAGAATAAGTAGGTTTCAGTTGGGGTGTTCTTCTCTGCAAGTAACAGCAAACCAGACTATCAGTGGCTTGCACAACAGGACAAATTGTTTTTCCCATGAACTGGTAGGAGGGGGCTGGAGTTGGCTGGCTGCCCAATGATGCCATCAGGGACCCAGAGTCTCAGGCCAGATCCTGGAAGAACGCTTGAGAATAAGCAGCCTCCCTGGGTAACCTGATAAGCAGGAACTCCAGGCTGACCTCCCAAACCCAGGGAGACTGTTTGACCTTGAGATACCCACCACACCAGAGAAAGCGAAAATGGCGCCTCAGGAAGACTACTTTGCAGATTTATAGGTCATGGGCTTATATTTAGTGCCTGTCGCCCTCCAAGTCCGGCAACTCCTTTCTGTTACCACAGAGTGCAAAGAAAGACATCTGATCAAGAAAGTCAGTCACTCTGAGTCCGTGAGGACACGTTTGTCTTCTAAGTCCCTACAAATCCACTGCTCTTACCATGGGGCAAAGGAGGGAAAGTGGTGACAGGACCCTCACCCTCACCACCCCAAGCATGGACCCAGACAGTCCCAAAGGAAATGCTACCAAACCTTAACAAGATGATTCCAGGGGATTTTAAAGTGTTCCAGAATTTAGGAAAGGAAGGCTTCCAGATTATTAATACGATGTGATGATAACATTAGTATCTAAAGTAAATACTGCGCAAGAAAATGACACAGCAACCTCACACAATACTCATGCAAACCTCCTTTAAAAAAATAAAAAAGCAGAGGGGCACCTGGGTGGCTCAGTCAGTTAAGCGGCTGCCTGGGGCTCGGGTCATGATCCCAGGGTCCTGGGATCCAGCCCCACACTGGGTTCCTTGCTCAGCGGGGAGCCTGCTCCTCCCTCTCCCTGCTGCTCCCCTGCTTGTGCGCTCTCTCTCGCTGTGTCAAATAAGTAAATAAAATCTTAAAAAAAAAAAAAAAGAGAAATCCAGAAGCACATTAAAAGGATTATACCTCATTTATAAATAAGGATCGTTTGAAGAATGCAAAGATCATGCATTATCAGTAACAAATTCATCATGGTGATGAATATAAAAATAACCCTAGGATTACTGAAGACTCTGAAAAGGCCTGAAGAGGTCTTTGACAAAATTCAATAATCATTCTTGAGACACACATCCACAGAGTGACAGATGCATATGTGAAGAATTTCCACAAAATCGGGAACAAGACAAGGATGCCTGATTATCCTTCACATTATTTTACATTAGGCAGAAGGTACTGGAATTAATAAGGAGAAAGAAGTTCGAGATATAAAAGTTGTAAAGAGGCAATACTTTCACTATTTGATAGGACCTGTTTTCCAACATAAGAGAACCACATGAGAAACTAGAGAATTCAATGTGGTAACAGACTATCAAATAAATATGTAGATATCAATTCCTTTTTTTTTTTTTTTTTTAAAGATTTTACTTATTTGACACAGAGAGAGACAGTGA